TCAAAATGCCTCCACTACATCTTCTTTACCAACACCTGATAACTCTAAAGGGCTGATTTGAATTAGTCACTCTACTTGATTTGATCCTACACCCAATTACAACACTAACTCGCATCCAAAACTATGAATTCCATCTCATCCAATAAGGCTACTTCGTGTCCTTGTTTTTTTATGAAGTTGATTGTAGGAATTAATATAATAATAATATGTGTCACAACTCACTTTACTATAGATATACTAAAATAAGAAAAAGTTCAGTGTAGAAGAAAAGGTCGATAAGAGAAAACTCAGGGCTTGCAAATGACAGAGAAACAAGATGGAGAATAAGCAAAAATGGCTGAGAGATTAATTTTAGACTTTAGAGTATACATACTATGTGACAAGGAAACGCAGTGTGAGCCAGGATTAATCAGGATATGTCATAAACTAGTGATTGATAAACAAGACTCTTGTTTAGAGCTCCCAGTTTGGCCAGGCAGCAGTCCGTGTTGGTGTTGGCTTCATGCCAAACATGCCAAACATGCCAAAGGGAGATATTGATTTAGGCACCGAGTTGCAAGAATTGAGCAGAAACCTGGTTGAGTCACCAAGGGCAAATGGGTAGTCATTTAGCCCAAATAAATAATGTTTTTAGGATCCCCCTCAACTACCAGGGCTGAAGCTTCGGTCAAGGTGGCAACGCCATTGGGTCCCAAGAAAAACTGAATGACAAGGTCTTTTTTTTTTCCATTCAAATGTGAATTGTCCACCTTTAAGTATAAGGTGGGGTTGACTACCAGGATGTGATTGCCACTCCATTATAATTCTATTCCCAAATTTCTCTATACCCTCTCTCCATTGTATACATAGTTACTAACAAATGCATTGTCATCACTTGAATTGAAAAAATTTACATATAAGTCGACTTCCTTCCTCTAACAACCTCATGGGACATCCTCTCTTCAATTAACATAACAATCAATCTTCTATTTCATCATATTTAAGTTGAGAGTTTCATATTTCATATTGGATACAATGTGAGAGACACACTTGTACATATAACACAGCAGGTAAAATGAGTCCTAGTAACCATCTCATCTCTCTTATCATTGGAGTATTCTTCCCTTAGTATCTAGCTTATTCATCCCAATTACATGTCAATAGCATTGGCTTTTTGACTTCTATAAAGCACAGCAGTGACATAGATAATAGTCTTTATCACAATGGCACCTTATTTATTGTTAGAACTGCATTACCCTTCTCTTGATTATTTGCATAGCAGCCTTGAGACCATATTGTGCACCACACTGTCACCTACCGGTGTAACTCGGTTCTCATTGTCCTCACATTCTGACTTCACTCGTCACAAAATATTGGAATTCTTTGAACTCATAGTTGACAAACAAGAACCTGACTGAGATTCAGTCACTGAGTTTGGTTTAAGCCAGCAACCCAAAGGGTCAACCAAGAGGTATTTTTAAAAACTCCGAATCTTCTCATAAAAACATTTTTCTCAAGAAAGATCGGACCAACCCTGTCTGGGTTTACCCTAAATTAATACAGAAATGGAGCATGCCAGGTCCACCAAGGTAAGTCCTGGGTCTGCCTACCAGGTTGGTAACTTTGCAAACAGAGTGAGCCATCCCTCACAAGACGACCATAAAATCCCTTCTTGAAACAACCCCAAGATCCACTTCCATGAACTCAAGAGATAAAACAGGTTCAATTTCCAGTTTCGTGCTCAGCGTTGACTTTCAAGCTTTGCATATCATCCAAGAGACATAGACTAAGGACTTCATATAAGCTATCAATTCTTCTTTCCTTATATTCAAGTTAACGATTTAATAATCAAGTTTCCCTTGTGACAAATGATCTCGATTTAGAAAATTGGGCGCAACCATAGAAAACAAAAATGACGATGATCAATTTGATTCATGTACCTATAGTGCATGGGTAGGTTTTATTCAAGATCTAAGGCCATGGGCATGGGTGTTCTGATTCCAAGATTTTCCTCTAGTGTAACATTTTCCATCAAAGATTTCCTCAATCAAATTTGTCACCTCATCCATCTCCATCAAATCGACCCTTCCGAGGCCCTAATAACACAGCCTTCCTCCCTCCCAAACCAATTTTCCATACCGTAAGCCCTCCAACCCTATTTCCAGCCCTAATCCCACCTTATTTCCAAACCTAGCCATCAGCCTTGCACTTATGAATTGCCAGCAAGATTCATCTCCATTAAACAGTTATGTCAAACCGTAAATGTTATCATCCCAAACCCACCAAACCATTTCCCATAACCTCAACTCCTTAGCCTTCCTCGCGCCTCAGATCATCCTCTCATGTTATAGTAGAAGCCCTTAACCTATCCTAAAACCTAACCTTACTCATATCATAAACCCAAGTCAAACTAAAATTCTAACTTTGTCATCCATAATTTTACCCAAAATTCCGTAACCCTAGCCCTTCTTTCTAAGCCCTTCACACATGCACACTCATATAGGAGCCAATCCCCCTTGGTCCTACATCAAGGTCTTAGCACATACCCCCAAGCCTGCTCCAAAGAAACAAATACTCATGCTTACAGCAGTGTGTTGTGCCCCAGAATAAAGTACTATAGTTTTATGAGAAATTTAAGAAATTAAAAAAAAAAAAAAGAGAAATGGTAAGATTATTCATCACATACTCCTCTGCCACTCACTCAAAGCAATTCACTCAATGTCACACACATTGGGCCAAGAGGACTCAATTTATCCTTTGGTGTTAACAACCGATTAGATGAAGTTTCCACCTTTGCAGCTCTAGCTCTATTCAATGCTCCTTCTATCACACTCATAAAGAATCAAATGGATAATTTAAGCTTGCCAAGGATGGAGTGGGTCTCAGTTCTATGGCTTTGTGGACCCCATATCTCTATTTTTTCTATTCTGTTTACTCCCTCCAACCGTCCAATCTTTCCTCCTGCCCCTTCCCTTCATGCGCCTACAGTCTCCCTTTTCCTTTTACACCTCCCACCCTGCCCCTTCGCTCTGGTTATGCTCGTCTTCTCTTGTATATGCTCTTAGTACAACTTGATATATACTTTAATTCATTGTCAATTATCACCAGTATTTGAAAAATCGTAGATCCAGATCGGGAATCGTCGACCCATATCAGGAATCGCAGGTGAACATGTCATTCTAAATCGGAATCACCGATCCTTTAGTTTTAAGTAATGTATAGCATGTACATTTCATAACAAATCATTCAAATGTGTGATTTTGTTCGCACCTCTATTTATTGGTCTCAAGGTCAAAGGGTTGAGCCTCATGGGCTATCACTTTTAAATTTTTTTAACATTCATTATTAACATATAAATAAAGAGTGAAAAAGACATAAATTATCACGTGTGTTTGCTAGCCTCAGGATTAGACGTTCAAGCCTCATGGATTACCCCTTTCGTATAGAAAATAAAAACATTCAAGTGTTCAAAATTAATCTAAGAAAAATATAGTGAAAAAAACATTCGTATGTTAAGAGTGGGGGTTTAAAACCCCAACCTCGTAATAAAAGACCACGAGATTTAGCCGACAAAACATAAGTTAATACTTGTCATAGAATGCAAATGTTAAACCTTATATATA